ATGCCAAATACCATCAGATCAGGGCATCATTTAGATGGTGGAAATGGAGCATAAAATGACAGTCTGGACTGGTCTTTGACAGGGTAGGGGGCTTTTGAAATGTAAGTGATTTTTACAAGGGACAATTAGCATCCAAATAAAAGGAAGAGATTCTCCCTAACAATGTTGCTGTGACTGGCCCAGGGTCTTGTTCCTAACTTTCAGAAAGGAGGAAGACTTTTTTCCCACCCACCCCACAGCAAAGACTGAGGAAAGGGACCTAGAAAGCTTTCAAATACATAAAAGTCCTGCTGCAGTTACAATGGGGAGGACAAGAAGACACAGGCTTAAATTGTCTTAAGAGGAACTTGTGTTAGAGATTAAAAAACTTCTCAGATGTTAAGGATAATGTTGCAAAATATACCACCTACAGAAGTTACGGGCATTTCCCATTGGAAGCCTTTAAGAAGAGGTTAGAAAAACATCTATGTTTGGTGGAATAATTTAGATACAGCTCATGCTGCCTAAGCAGGAAGAGGAGGAGTCCAGATTAAGGTTTTTTAGATGCCTCCCAGCCCTGTTTTCTATGATTTTCCTGTGGATAAGTTATCCCTACATCTAGCTGCTTAATTTCCCCTTTCTGTAGCTCAGCAGTTAATTTCAGGCTTGTGGGAAAGCACACATAGCAAGCCTGAGGCACAAGAGACTTTATCTGGGATAAAGTCATAAGTAGTTGGGGAACTGGGGAGCCATTTCTTTATTATGAATGTGTACATATGTGACTATGCCCCCTTACCATCAAAACCAATGTAAATAGGTAGAATAGTATCAAAGGACTTGAATTTTCATCATAATTTTCATTTTGCAACTAGGGAATGCAAAGCACAAAAGTCTGAACCATCTGTAATGACACAGCAACTTGTCGAAATGACCCTAAAAAATGGATTTCCTGGCTCCTCAAGTGACCTATCCTGATGGACTACATGCTCCTCCTGTTCTCACTCTCCCTCCCCTGCCCTGCCTTCCTTCCCCCCAGCAAGCCATTCAAGACTACAAGAATTGAAGCATTTCCTCATAAAAGTCTTGCCTGCAGCCTGGGGAAGTTAGGCACTACAATAGTGTTGAAACTTCTGCTGCAACAAGAACACACATCACAAAGATGATCATTATCACAGGAAAAAAAAAAAACAACCCAAAAAAACTAAAGCTGCATCAAAACTTGCACCTTGCAGAGCTGATTTTTGGTTGTTGATCCTCATCTCCTTTCTTTAACTTGCCTTTTTCTGGCTAACCTTTGACAGAAAGATTCTATTCCTCTACCAAGTGATTATCTATAAAAATAAAAGAAGACAGAATAAAGGACATACTACTGATAAAGCTTAGAATTGTTTTTTATACAAGTGCAGAAGAATTCACAAGTGATTGCAAGTATTGCTCCAGCCCACTGTGCAAAAGGCACAGTCTAGCTCACTTTCCTAAAGCTGCTGTAACTTTAGTGTTAGAACCAAGGGAGGACCCACACTTGAATCATCCACAGGAGGTCCTGACTCTCACAACTGACTATGCCAAGACATACCAGGCTCAAAATTAATTTGCAAGAACTCTGATAGGCTCTAAGCCACCTACACAGACCAAGCATAATTTAGATTCACCATAACCAGTAAAACTAAATAAGAATTAAAAGAATTAGAGAATTAAAATACATCAGGAATGCAAAAGACTGCATCAGTGGAATAAATATAATAAAATTCTTTGCATGCTTAGGCATTTCCTAGCTTATTGGAATGGCATATTTAACTTCTGATTTATAAATCAAGGGATATTGCTCAGTGCCATAAGATGCATTCCACTGGGTCTCAAAGTCTTTAGCAGATCCACACTGTGCGTACTTCCTCCTGATGGTTTCACATTCATGTTCATCAACACTCAGCAAGAACCATAAACAAAGCCCTTTCTCAGTTGCACACATGCAGTTCCCATTGACTTCGCTGAATTTTCAGCTGACTTCAATCAGAACTCTGTGCATGCAGAAGGGCAAAACTTGGCTCTGTATATTTAATAAAATTACATCACTAGATACCTTATAAATGAAGGGCAATGTAGGCCATACTGAAAAATAATATTAACTGAAAACCTGAAACTGTAGCCAAAGAGGTTCAAATTTCAGCCAGGTTTTCCCAGAACAATAAAAAGGGAGCAGATTTTAGGCAAGATGAAATGAAATCCCTGCAATATCTCGTTTACCAGAGTGTGCTCTGCCTCTTTTAGTAGGACAAAGTGGGAAACCCAGTTATCTACATAAGGCAATGATCTTCTTGTCTCAGGTAGAGCAATGATATTGGCATATGAAACAATTAAGTGAAGGTCAAGTTACAAGCTGTGATTTGCTAAGTCATTTTCTGCATCTGTATCCCTGCTCTTTAAGCTATGAAGCTCATTGCAAGTGTATATAAAGCATAGAAGAATACCACAGTAGAAAAAATGATTAATCATATGATATTAATAACTAATATTTTTGATCTACTCTAATAGTGGTATTTTAAAGATACTAAATGCTTGAATGTAGGAGTATCTATCTTAACCCTTCAATCCTCTTCCCACCTGGCCAAAAGAACACCACAACAAAAATCCCACAGAACCTAGGAAAAACAGTTCCCTTCCAAATTTCAAATGACCTCTCGCAACAAAATTTCTGCCAGGTACATTAGCTAATGCACACTAAGCAAAGCAATGCCACATGTGTTTTCTCCAGATTTATTCCCTTTATTTTGCTTTTACACATTTCATGATGTAATAACCTGTACCTTTTTACTGCATTTTTTAAAATATCTACCTATTAGGATGAAGAATATTCTGACTTCTAACAATCCAGCTACCAACAGGCTTCCTTGTACTTTCTGTTTGTCTGACAAGTGCTCGTAAGCCTGCAGTTACAAATTTATATACAGAAGTACTCAGGGATGGAAACCACAGAGGGGGCTCAGTGTTAATGTTTGGTTTTCCCCTTCTAAGCAGTAACATCTCTGATGATTTTCACACTTAAAGAGCAGAACAGATTTTATGAATCATTTTTTCTTCCTGGTTGGAACAACCCCTATTCCCCATTGCATTATAATACTGAGTCACTTTGCATCAGGTTGGTGATTACTGGCAAGCCAACAGAGAGAGAAGGGAAGTAGACAAAATGCTCTGGAGCTACATGTGCGATAGGATATATATGCCTCTTGAAGCAAATTATTTAAAATCAGGAAAAAAAATTACAGTACAACTCACAAAAGGGAAAACTATTTCATACTTATTGGAAAAGTCTAAATGTAACACTGATGAGCAAAGGGATGGTAAAGACTTTTTCTTTCTTTCTTTTAAAATTTTGTTAAATGAAGCAAAAGTCTAGTCTGGCACAAATGCTGAACTGTACTGGTCATCCACAACAGATTATCCAGTAAGTTAGTGTGGTGGAATCTGTTTCTCCCAAACCATGGCACTGTCAAATGAATAGCTACAAGGTCTGGTGGAGCTCTCTTCTCTCTATATCCCCTCCCCTCTTAACATCCCATCCTGACACTGGCAGCCTGTGAAGACACTCTTCTCAGAACTCCTTCACGTAACTCCATGTCTACTTTCTGTTGGCTCTAGTGGAGCATGAGCTTTGTGAATTTACAGTGTGTTACAAGGAACATTGATCTATTCTGGCTTACAGTCTGCAATTCCAGGTACACAACAGGGAAAAGAAGGGTATCCCCACCTCTCCTCTCAGTCCTACAGGGACAGGGCTAGTGCAACAAAGGAGCTATTAGTTTGTTTTAAATGCACAGCACGACTATTTGGTGATGGAAATAAAATCAGGTACCTTACATGATCATTTTTCAAGAAAGTTGATTTTAAAGGGTTAAGAAAAAAATATCCAACAAGACACCCAGGCCAAAACCTCTGCTTTTCTGCATGTCCTGTTTAAGCAATGACACATGAAGAACTTTATGTTCAAACAATTACCTAGTGCTTTAAATAGGACACTAAGGGAATAACATTTTAAAATTTATTCACCCTGCCTAAGACTAATCCTCCTCCTGGGAATACCAGTGCAAATCAGAGTAACTCCTCAGAGGTCAATTGAAGTACACCAGCACACAATAAATGTGAGGCAGAAGGGAATCAGGCCCCATCTACCTCTATTTTAATGCATAGATTGCAGATCATCTGCAATGATAAAGTGAACAACATAAATATAACTGACATCTATTCAATTGATCTCACATCCTGCCGACTATTCACAGCTCCAAATATAGGGCTGAAGAACAATGGTTCGAGGAAGAGAGGCAGAAATCCTCTTCTAACCAACCCATTCACACATTCCAATTTGCTAATACCTCCAACTTGAACTGCCTTTATCTCCCCACACTGCTAAATCACTATAGGTTTAATTTGATATTGTCCCCCCATCAGCTCTTGAAGAACAACTTCTCCTACAACAAAATAAACTAAAAAATACCAAGACAGATGCATGGAAGGGAAGACAAATGCAAAAATATGAGCAAACATGAGAACCTAGAGAGAAACAAGCAAGAAAATCTCTATCTAACATACCACATAGATATAAAAAGGCACTAGTAAATTGATTCATTATTTGGAAATCTAGCACTAAGAAAGAATGGTATATGTGCAGGGGAAGACTAAAATATGAGGCTATTGCAAACTATGCTGCCATTTGTTTTAATTTAAGTGGATCTGTAATTATTTCCTACAACTTCATGATGTCCTGAACCAGCTTCCTCCTCCCCTGCAAGGCTGATAAAAGGAGCCTTGACAACACACTAAATATATTATGCAATGTATTGAATACTACTGAGAAAAAGCACTGAATTACACTGAAACAAAGAACATTGGGTGTGAACATCACTACCTCCAGAGAAAGAGCATCTTTAACTACTTATCACATCAGGAAAAACAGGCATTCTCTTATACCTCTGTTACCTGCAACTAATGATATTAGCTATATTTAACAAACTTAAGGCAAATTTTACCTCAAATCTACTTAGGCTCGAGCTCTTTGACCGAGACTTCTTGCGGAGATAGACTGAGAAGAACCGACGCACTGTGAACTTCTTCATGTTCATGTCCATTGCCCTGTCCCAGCTGTGGCGCGGAGCACGAAGGAGCTGCAGCGCCGGCAGAGAAAGCTAGTGCATCCCGGTTGCCCCTATTTATATCCACAGGCAGGAGATCCTCCAAAGTGTCTGTTTCTGTTCATCAAGCCAGGCACAGCTAGACTTGCGAGAGAGACGCTGCCGGAGCCATGGGAGCCCAGAGCTCGCTCTTCAGAGCATACAGGCGTTCTACTCCCTCTCGCTCGCCACTGTTTACATTTCAGTGCGGCAAGCCCAACTCTCTCCCCGCTGCCTCTCCCCCTTGCCTTAGGTCCTACTACACCCAATCAGGCTCTGCTCTGGCTGCACGCAGAATCAGCGCCGGCAGATAACAGCTCCTGCATCCCAGGCGTAGCAGGTTTGAGACAAATATTAGATGTGTCTATTGCTTTGCACTCCCTCTCAGTCAGGCTCTTTCAATTTCCTGCTCTCTGAATCACATGGGGGATAGGCACATGCTGCACTTCTGTTTTTAGCTCAGAATTCAGACGCTGCTATAATTACTGAGGGCTGCGGTGGTCAGAGCCGAGAAGAAATCAGCTCCCCTGTGAGAGTCGCTCCTATGAGAAAGCTGAAAGACGCCGTGCCCCTACTGCCAGAGTAGAAGAGTCTGAATCTCCTCTTATTCTGTGGAGTATGCGAAATAACACTGCCCCCCTGCCCCTGAAATTGAAAAGCTTAACATCCTGCTCACAATTACCCACCCGCTTTACATTAAAATACCTAACACTAGCACAGCTCTGAAAATAGAAAGCACAATCTCAATGGTAAGTATTACTATTCTTACTGTTCTGCAGCAGGGAGCTATAGCCCTTCTAGGAGGTTAAATACATACATCTATTTACGAGCTGTAATTTTGAGCTGCCTACTATACTGCTAAGTGTGCAGACTTACAGCTGCACCCCCATCTCCCTCAACAAAATCATGTTTTTCAGCTTTTCTTCAAAAACTAGTGAATCTCAGTGTGATCCAGAGACCAAAGAGCTCTCTCTGTCTGACGCACAAAGCTTGGACTCCTTGTCCATGGCAGCCTTTCCTTAGCAGTCAGAAACGACTACTAAGAAGCACCCAGACATGCCTTTCTCCTGTAACTTCATATGGAAAGAAAATTACTCTGATGACTTTTTAATAACTTGGATAAATAAGCCCAGGGAGAGCTGACACCACTGCAGCCTGAGAAGACTCTCAGAAGTTAAAAGACAATACCACTCCAGTCCATCTGCTCTAAAAGAGAGATGCATTTTGCTTTAATTGCTTATCTGGATTCTGCCATGAACTGCCTCGGCTGGTAATGCCTGTCGCTACCTGCTTTGTTCACAGGTTCTCTGTCCTGCTCTTCTGTCTACGTCTCACCATGGTCTATATGTACCTGGAAAAGTATTTAATAAAAATAAAAATATTTTGGCATTTATGGTTTCATTAAAAAGAGGTCAGATTGGAAAGGCTGCCATTATAGGGCTCTATAATCTCATAACCTCCTACGCCTGGACCACTGCTGTCTTCCCCAGCCCAAGATAACTGTTGCAGAGTTGCAGCCTGCTTTTCCCCTTTTTCTTTTCAGCACTTCCTGATTGCTTTTTTAATTCTTTTGCTTTGCAACAAAAGTATCTTCAGGGGTTGCTTTCAAAGTGCTGCCCTGGTGTAAACCGTGTCAAGCCTAGGAGCCCTTGTGTCATTACAGTTGTGTTGTTTCTCAGCTAAAGATCCTGGAGAAGAGAACACTGCCTCAGGCAAAAATATCAGGTATCTATAGGGACACCAAAACCCTCTCCACAAGTAAAATAATTAACAGGTTGAAAGGCAATTTAGTTGGTATAGCAATTTCGTTGGTCAATGCCAAAATTATTTGCTGATGAACCTCTCGAGTTCTGTGTCTCCTCACAACCCTGCAGTATTAAATATGCAGTGGCACAAAAGCCTCAGGCACTCATCTGATTACCTGACCTCCCTCACCTGCCCTGTCACACAGCACAGCTCCCGCTGCTACTTCTCCTGCCCCGCCCTTCGCCTAGCAAAAAAGTATCCTGGCATGAGCTGGACCAGGCTTTGTGCTGGCAAATGCTTTTGGCAGCCTCACACGTTCCTACCTGTGTAAGCCACTTGAGCTTTAAATAGCAATCTGACAAGTTCAGGGTAGGTCCCTGAACCCTTCCCATCACAGTCACAATGAAATCCCACCTTGACACTGACATCTTTATTAATGCAGAGGAGGTGGTAATTTCCCTGCTCTGAATACACAGGGCTGTGTGAAATAATAAGCAGTATATGAGTGCCTGTTACTATTTAGCCTAGTAGATTTAACACAACCTTCCCATCCATTACATATGTAGTGCTTTCATGAACAAGGACGTGCAGTCACCATTAAATGTACCTGCACTGTAATAAACGTCCATGAAGATTACCCAGGCTATGACTTAATACCTAACTATCAGAAACACTTATTACATTCAGAATTTTGTTCTTTATCACAAAGTATAAATTCTACAAATTGAGTTACAATATACTGGAAATTTATTGTGGACATCAGAGCAAAAACTACCCTTGGATGCTAAAGGTTAGACTGTAAAATAAACAGCATACCCAGGCTAGGAAGTAACTATCTTACAGCCCTGCCACTATACAGGCTTGGAAACAGGCATGATCTTGCTTTCTTACTCCTCTTTCAGACAGGTGACTAGGGATTAAATACAGAAGGATAACTAACCACCAGTGCCAGGACATTGCCCTTCACCTACTGGGTAACAGAGCAGTGGAGATACTGCAGAGAATCTTCCAGTTGCAAAAAGCAAAAGCAACTGAGATGTAAAATTGTGCATAAAAAAAAAAAAAGAGTACAAATGCAGAAATAAAACAAAAAACACACACACGTAAAACTAAAGCATATGGATAAATATATGAAGAGCAAATTCTACTATAGTTCCATTCACATGCCATGCTTCAAGACATTGAACTTAACTTTGCTTCAGAAAAACAAAGGAGAAGAGATATCAAAAACATTCACTCAAACTTTCACCTACTCAGACAATATCCACTTTTCACAACAACTCTAATAAAAAGGCACAAGCCAAAAAATAAATTAGATTAAATTGGAACATTAATCATTATATTTATAAACATACAGCTGTCAGATAAACATACATTGTGAAAAATTAATTTAGCTTAGAAATTCATGTCAAATTATGTATCAGCACGCCTCTGAGCAACTTTAACTCCTGAGGATCTTGACGGGAAACGAAATTGACTAAATGTCTCTGTTTAAGACAAGAATAAACAATCAGACTGGTGCAGGGAACATATGACACATAGGCATCAACCAGTAATATTCAGTAGTATTCTGAAATAAATTTTTTACAACTAAAATCATATTTGCTGTAACACAAAATAAATAAATACAATACCACAACTGCCCCTTCTCCCAGTTAGGTTAATATCAAAATAATGTTTACTTCAACTGGGAAAAGGCTTAAAACCTCAAAAAACCCAAAACCCCAAAACCAGGATTCAAGACAAACTCTCCAACAAAACCCACTTTAAATTGGATATTACATACCCATGTTTGAATTTTTAAAAGATAAATGGAGAATACACAATCAATATCTAATGAAAGCCAAAGGTCCTTTCCTCATATGCACAGATGGACCACAACAAGAACAAGAACATACCAAAGGATCCAGACTTAGAAAATTAATATGGGGCAACAAAACAGCCTGCACAGACCTCAGGAGAGAAGGAAGCCAGAAGCCAATGCTGGATGAGTCACTGAGTTCTAAATGATCAAACATGCAAGTCCAAGACAACTACCACAAACTGGATGATATAATTACTGAGGGAAATTTTGTATTACTATATTATACAGCATATCAGGCCCTATGTCCAAATTGGACCTTCTTGGTGTTTTTTTTAATGTAAATCAACAATTTATGAGCAAACCCAGAATGACTCTGCTACTTGAGAAAATTTAGCAATCACTGTAAAAGTAAAACCATATGAGTTGATAGTATCTTCCTTGCAAATTCAATGAGTATTACCTATCCTTCCTCAGTAAGTTCATCAGAAAGCCAGAAAAAAAATCCAGAGAGAAATAAAAAAGCATCAGAGACACAGACACCATAGGCAGAACAAACAAGATTAGCAGAACATGACATGCAGAGAAAGGGAAAATGAGACTCTCACAATAGAGGCCCAAGAGACAATGCTACAGAAAAAGTGAATTACACAGTGCCATTTATGCTCTCATTAAAGACTATCAGGAGCGAGAGCAGATGTTTGCAAGAGACACCAATCAGCAGAATAAGGAACAACACTTTCCCCCAGGTGATTAGATGGTATACGACGCTTTCAGTGATTGCTGTTTCCTCATCTTGAATGCTGGACAAATTGCCATCTGGCTTTTGTTTCCTCAACTAATAAGTGAGGTGGTTATTTTTCTTATTGATGTTTCTTTAAATAATATATGATGGGTTTTGTCCAAAGAAATGCTTGGGCTTTAATCTCATTAGACCAGTGTACCAATGTGGATTTCAGCCTTTCCAGCTGCTGTACATGGTTAGGTACCTTGCCCTGTTTAGCATGCTGCTTACTTCACTGCAATTTTCTCTCTCAAAAAAAAAAAAAAAAAAGGGCACACTGCCCTGCCAGTACTGTGGAATACAAGCAGTGACTTGTACCTCATTCTTTTCACCAGTAGTGACAAGTGATCACAAAGTCGGCTGGATGGGAATGTGAGGGAAGGCAGGAAAGAAAATGCTTTCTCTCCCTTCTCTCACCTCCTGACTGTGTATCACAAGCTTCAGGAATTTTCAGCCTTTTCTGTATGTGAACTATGAGAAGTTTCCAGTGGAGCTGCAGGTCCCTTCACTCATTTTGCAAATTAAAATCACTGCTCAGAAGGAAGAAGAAAACAAAGTTATACATCTTGTCTAACAGGGTCTGATGAACTGGCAGGACACAGGCTCCTTGGACACAGTCTTCTCTAT